ATATTATCAACAGTACACAATTTCCATACTTACGTTTTGTACAAAGAGGTATCAGTTATATAAAAACACAGTACACAATAGTTAAAAATGAGACATACAGTACACGTCTGAATACATTTCAACCATACTTCAAGTGTCAGGAATCTTTCTTTCTGTGTTTATATTAACTCTCTCCTCCTCTGTCACACACACAGACCAGAACTGGCATCAGTTGACCCATGAATAACCATTGGCTGGCATCAGGAGCGTCGCGATAAAATGAAAATGTGCTATGACTAATAAATATGCTTCCATATCCTGCAGGGCTACCGGCACGGTGCCAAACGGCAGGGGGTGGAATGGAAATATGAGCTTTTTACATGCCAGACACCAAATTGAAACACAATTAAATAATATTTCATAAACAGTATCCGTCTTAAATATTCCAATCATGCAGTATATCCGATGAGCAATAATTTAGTACATCTTTTCATGGTAGCGATGAACACAACAAGAGCAAGCTGCTAACTGATGAAGGAGGTCTGTAAGACCATTTGAGTGTCGACTCCACTTCGTCTCCAACTCCACGTGTTGTTAGAGGAAGACAAATAATCAATGACAGCTGGCAGAAACTGGCTTTATGCTTGAAATACGGTTTAATCATAATGAGAATTGTGATGAGGATGATGAGAAACATTAACTGTCTGTTCTTTTAGTTAATCCTGTTATTCTGTGCGATGGTGCGAAGGAGTGAGGGCAGCTGTGGGGCTCAACATAGGGCTCAGGACTAGCATGAGATCTTATATTGGAGATGGTCAAAGAAAGATTTCTTAGGACAAATCTTAGGATATGTCTTTTCTTAACTAAATGTTCTTTATGTTTGCCGAATCTGTTTGAAATGTTTCAGAGGTCTCGAGACGAAAGGCTGCTGCAGGTGATTTCAATGTTTTATGAAAGGCCCCCCTACACACACTGGGAAGTAATAGTAACAAATCAAAATTTGAGTAGTAGAGTAGTAAAGTTCCCCTCAAATTAAACATATTCTTTTTCTATTTTACATTACAATTTGTGATTGAAAAAGAAAGTGGAAAAGATGTAAGAAAAAGAGCAAATAGAGAATGACAAATGTGTTCCTGTTGTACAGTATCTGTGAACATTGCTGTTGATGAAATATCAACAGGGCAAAATGTTTTTGTCTGATATCAAGATGACCAGATTTCATCTTAAATCATTTGAACTATCCGACTGATAGATGAACCCATGTAAAACCAAGCTAGTGGAGGAAGCGCTGCTTCTTAAAAACAGGTAGGTGCTTCCAGGTGCCTTTCAGCTTCCTCTCAATGTTCACAGTAACTGTAGCATCACGTGTACATAAACGTAACCATTTCTTTCCTCGTGCTGAAGTTAGATTCGGGGTGGAGAGAGGCTGTGGTGTCCTGGACTAGGAGGTTGGAGGTCGTACGGCGCGGCAGGAGTGGCAGCAGGCTTTGCTGTAGTACCAGTGGCTGCACAGGTTGACCTTCAGCGCCAGCAGGCAGTTGGTAGAGGGACGATCCTGGCAGCTCTCATCTGGGACAGTTTACACATGGTTAAGTTCTTGTTAGCAATTTCAAAACAATACCGTCTAAACTAGGGCTGGACGATATGGCCAAAAATGTTATCACAATAAAAAGTTTCATATCTATCGATATCGATAATTATCACGATAAGTATCAAATCGTTATTTCTTTCAAGTTTAAAAGCTGATTTTACTCCTGAGAGAAGAAAAGAAACTTGATGCATAATTGTGGTTTAAACTGTTCTTTATGCTTAAAACTTGGGGCCAAACACTGAATCACTTCACAAATCTGAGGCAGAACATTCAAAACAATTATGATAAAATCTTTGTCAACAAATCTAAGTAAAAATAAGTAAAAGCTTTTTATCTTAATAAAACAATTAAGTCCTAATTCGTTGTATAATTCAAGAGAATAAATCAAACATTTATTGAATATTTATTGAACATTTATTATATTGTTTTTGAAAAAAATTATATCGCATTAATTATTGTTATTGTTTTATTGTCCAGGCCTAATCTAAACCCAGAAGCAGGTTAAGATTTAATAAAAACAAGACCTCATTTGATAGCTCACTTTGAGAAATGTTTACACCTTTTTACATTGATCGAAAGCTTTAAAAATTTTATTCCTTTTAGTGCTTTTCAACCTGGGTCCTATGGTATGTCTTCACAGAAGACAGCGTTAGTCTCGTAACCACTGTAGGAAAATGACTCCAGGGCAAGCAGCACAAGCCTCCTAAAACCTTTCAAAGAAACTTAAATTTAACACAAATCATTGACTCCAGATAAAATCATTTATTCCACATAAAAGTAAATAAAGGAATTAGCTTTTTAGATTAGCTATTGTAGCTAACAGCATCTACTTCCAGGGCAAGTTACTACACTTAAACCTAGGCTAATCTAGAATAATCTGTTTTTTGGGAATGTTGTTAGATGAGTTGGTACATTTTGTTATCTAAAATAGATAAGAGCAGTTTGGAAGCAGAACCGCAGGTTTCCTGAGGCGTTACCTGGCGGCTCAGTGGGACAGGGCTGCAGGGTGCAGGTCTGTTTGGCCACAGGTTTGGTGAGCGGGTCGCAGCCTCGGACCAACTCCCTGCCCTGGTAACACTTCACGTCCCTCATCCTCACACCCACACCACACGTCTTAGTGCACTGAAGAAACACAGGAGCAGAAACACAGGCGTTATAGACCTGACCTAGCGTTACAGAAACCATCCTGGCACAGTCAACTGGAAGCCTTTTCAAGTATTTCACTACATATTCAAAGCAGTAAAAATGGATTATTAGCGACTAACATCATCTGCCAATCTAACATGATTCTGTCCACTAGTCTTCTGTGCAGGCATTACACATCAGCAGCTTGGTGTGGAAGTTTCTGATGAAGAGATAGCAACTTGTTAGCACAACACAAATCATCTGGACATCTTAGCAATTTAAAGCTTTCTGAATCATAATATATTTTCCTGATTTATTATGTCTTGAATATTGTGTTTTAGTTCAGACTGCCAGTTTCACATCACGTCAGTTGGAAGTTTCTCTTTTGTGCATAAATCACGTTCATATTGGACCTCATGTCTTCATCTGGGCCCAATACCCCAGTTTTCAGGGACTGCTCTCTAGTTGAATGTAACATTTAGTATCTCTTATGTCCCAAGAAAGACATTGTTGGAACAGAGGTTCTCAGCACAGTTTCAGTCTTCAGAAAGAGGACCTGGTCCAGCTTTCGTAGCACCAAACACTAAAACTTGTAACTCTACAGTCTGAATTATTTACGAGCCACCTCACTTTGATGAAACTGTGTCTGCTGCATCAGTGTCAGTCAGCAGTTAAAACCAAACTTTCCCAATTGTTCTGCATTCCAGCAACAGAAAAAACATTTACCATGCTAGCGAAAAAAACAGAAACGGCCATGTATTTGACCATATTTTGGTGAAATTATGAGTGTTTTGAAAACAACGAACATGCAGACAGTGGATCATGTTGAGTTTCTATGGATACTTTTTCCTTCATTTATCTGTATCTCATTTTAATATATAGTGATTGCTGTGAGGCAAGCATAATTAGAGCTGCTGTCCTTTATGAAGGAGCAACTTAAAAACCTTTCAGAGCCAGCTGAAAGACTGTTGGTGGTAAATTCTTGACACTGAAAAGGTTCTTTGAACAGGTGGACCATACCTTGAGCATGTTGAGCAACTATGAATTAGCAGCACATCTTGACCAAGAGTTATACAGGGAAATCCACACTCTATATTTGAGGTGTAAAGGTGGAGTGTGTGTTGACCTCACCTCAGACCAGGGGGTGGTGTACCATTTGAAGCATGGCCTTTCAAAACAAGTGTTTTCCTCCTCAGGCTTCTCGCTGGCTCCACACGCCTCATCATCAAAGGTCTGGAACTTTCCTCCACTGATGCCGACACACAGGACCATCCTTCGCTTCACGCCACGACCACAGGTTGTGTTACACTAGAGACAAAATCATGTTACTAGTATTCATATCTGACTTTGTGACAACTGAAGAGATTTTCTTCATTTTAAAGTTTCTTCACAGAGCGGCAGAGCGTGTTCTTGCTGATGTGGAAAAGTGAAAAACTGTAACCATGGGACAACTAAACAATTTCATTTCAGAACCATCTGACATCCTCAGAATGCTTGTTTTGTCCAGCAGACAGTCCACAATATATGAGATTAACAATTTACAATAATATACAACACAGAGAAAAGAAGCAAATTCTCATTTCACAAGTTCGACCTAGAGAATGTCGATAAATGACTTAAAAAAAAAAATCTATGAATTGACTAAGAGTTCCAGGTTTACTAATAAACAGTTAAATCTTAATATTGACACTGTGGCGAGGCCTCACCCTCTCCCAGTCTTGGCTCAGCCAGTGTGGAGCACAGTCTCTCTCCCCACAGGGGTAGCTGGCCAGCGGCTTGTTCTCCGCGGAGCACTGGTTCTCAGGAACCACGCGACCCTCCGGAGCCTTACAGTACACATGACGTACCATCTTCCCCTGGCCGCATGACCCCGAGCACTGCAACGACAAGGGTCAAAGGTCAAACCGGATGATTCATAAGAATCCTGTTCTCGTCACTGCCTTATTCAGCCAAGTTTTGTCACGAAGCTCAGAGTCAAACGCTGTTTGTCACATGAAGTCAGATCAGGTCACCTCACATCAGATTAAATAAAAAGGAGGCGTTACGTGAAATGAAGTGGCACCACATCAGAAAAAGTCATGTCACATTAGTTTAAGATAGCGTGATCATTCCACCTTGCAAACACGTATCACTATGTGGTACGGCATGCCTTTTTTTAGAAAGAGAAGTACTTATTATAGGAGCATTTGCCATTAGTATCAACATTCAGTCAAAGGTTTAGACCCTAGATATGACTACCTCAGTTTTTGGGGGAATAACTCTCTCTCTATATAAATATCATTGGATCTTGTGGTGACCACAAACTAACTTCCATTCCCCTTCAATGAATAGGGCAGCAGAAATCTCACACATTGTCAAAAATATAACCAAAACAATCTGCATGATGAGATACAACTACACATAAGTATAGAATAAATCATTTGGGCAAACCAGCTCTTTAAAGTAAAATCAAACTGATAATAAAATAATAATGACTGGCTCAACATTAGCTGTTGCACAGGGTATTACATTTAACATAAAGTTGTTGTGCCTGGTTGGACTCCATGGTTGTAAATTAGACCTGTGAGTTTCCAGACTTTGATTTTGACTTTGACTGGAACATAACGAGCTTGTCTGTACAACACAATAAAAACCATAAATTTACACAGTGGCAAGTTTTCACTGAAGTAAAACAGCTGGGATAGACAAAGCCGAGAGCAGCCAGAGAGAGCAGCAGCTACTCTGTACCATGGGTGCAACTAATGGTGATAAAACACACATATTGTACATTATATGTTGATGTTACTCATGTATACTGGCATGCGCTGTGTATATAGAGGGTAAAGAAACTCACAGGCCCCCACTCGGACACAGTCCAGTGGCGTTCGCAGGGAGGGCCTGTGCAGTTTTTGATATTTGGCGGTTTGGTCATCGGGTCACATGGTCTGGTCTCATCGGAGCACCGGACATCACGGCTCACCTGGGCTTTGCGGCCACATTTAGCAGGACACTGGATAAAGGACAGGCACACAGAGACACACGCAAGCTAATTATTACCAGCACATTTTTATAAAATAAATGTTAGTGTAATGTATCATTAACGCAACAGATGTTTGTTATCAGAAGGTCACTGTTAGAGATCAGGTATCTTTGTAAAAGATTTCACAGACTGAGCACGATGTTGCTGCTAATAAAGTGCTCTTGATAAAGACATTTGCTAAGCTAAGCTGCTCCCGTTCACCTTTTTTGGAGTTTTAAAGAGTCTGAAATCTCCTTGAAACAGAATCTGTAAGGATTCTCACTCAACTGTTTAATATAAGTAATATTAATATTTGTTGCAGTCTAGCATATGCAGCAAGCTATTAAGCTAACTAACTTACTCTGCTTGTCAATTGAAGTATTATAGCTGTTGTTCCTGTGCTAATGTGCTACCTGGTTTGAAGTTCACCCTTGACATTTTAAGGAATACACACAATAAATGTTATATTCTGCTAAAAAACAGGTGACTGACGTTTAGTAAGAGTAAGAGTGTAACAGTGAAATAAACAAGAAAATATCAAATTTGCTAAATACTATCTGAATGTATAGCTGCTTAAATGCTGTGTTGCTCCAAAGAGAAGGAATAATCTGTGACCCCCTTGACTCGAATCACATCTTGTTTTTTTTGTGTGTCTGGTAAGCGTCTCTGGAGAATCCATCAGGGACCAAAGTCAGACCACTTGACTGCTGCAGACAGCTGCTCAACCCGTGTCTGACAAAGCCACAAGTATTGCAAAGATGTGAAACAAACACCATTTTCTTTGCTTACTTTCTCCTTATGGTGGGGTTTTTTACTCAACATTTCAGACGTCTTATACCTCGGTCCACTCGGCCACCTCCCACTGTGGGCCGCACGCGGGGCTCTTGCAGGGCCGTCTCTCCATAGGTCTCTCCAGGTCAGCCATGGTGCAGAGGTCACTGTAGACCGAGCTGTCCAGGCCTGGTGAAAGCATCTTCCAACAGCGAACTTGGCGAAACTGGAAACCCTCCCCGCACGTCCTTGAGCACTCGCTCCAGCTGCTCGCCTCCCATCTGAAAGATCACATTAGTTGCACGTCATCAGTTCACTTCAGATAAAGATTCTGTACGGGCACACTGTCAGATTTTATGAAAGCAAGAAATACATTGCGCAATGCACTGTTGAGCAGTTTCTGGTTCATTAAAATGTTTTTACCTGGGCTGACATTCTCTCCCAATACAGAAGTCGTGGACCGGCTCTGGTCTGGTCAGAGCATCACAGTACATATCGTGCACCTCGATGCCATCATAACGAATACATGTGACGAAAGACTTTGACACTCCTGGGTTGTGAGCAAGAAACAAGGCAAAGCAAGGCAAACTGATTTATTCAGCACATTTTAAAAAAAAGAAAGGAAAGCTCACTGCTTTAGATGGAAGAAAGAAACATGAACGTCTGGCCACAAACATGATTTCTTAATCAAGTGTCCAATAGTCTAAATGCAGAGAAAGCTGTGTGAGCACCCAAATGTGCACTTCACCATACTAGTGTTAAGTGTTACAGGGAACTGGTCTGCAGACTGTTGGGTTTGAGTTTTGATCAGATGTTGTAGATCTCGATCTTAAGAAGTTGATGACAATATCGTAATGTAACTACCCGTGGATCTTCAGTGTGTGTGTTTGTTTGTACCTATAGAGCAGGTCATGCTGCAGGGCTCCTGAGAGGAAAGTTTCCAGCGATACATGTCAGCAGCACTCAGCTTCAGGTTCTTCTGGTGAATCCTTTGATTCCCCCTGTCACCCAAAAACAAACATATGTAAGAAAAGGAAAACTCAAGCTGTTTATCGTTGTGTCATGTAAATATTTAGCCATATTTTTCTGAAAATATGACTAGAACATACTGTGCATGCAAATAGTCAGTGGAGAAGCGGATTATACTGCAGGAGTAGCTTGAAAAGTTTCCATAGAAGCATTGATACTTTTTACCATTATACTGTAATGCACTTTTAACTGTAGTAAATCCAGGCTGCTTACAGCTGCTGTCCTCCACGCAGGACCAAGGTATAAACTTTCAAGTCTACAGATAGATTTTCAAAAGATACATTTCCTGTGAAATATTCTTTTAAGGACATTTAAGGATACCCAGTAGTACATAGCATGGAACACACACGCACACTCACACACTGAGCCTGTCTCCCAGGCCTCAGACGACCACAGTGTGACAGCTGATTCACAGCCTGCATCCTGGCAGACGCACTTTGTTTTTTCATCACATCACATAAAAGTCATGTGCACATTCTTGTCATAACACCGGTCATTCCTTCCGTCTCCGCCAGCCGCCAGACGTTTATTTGAAAATCATAAGCACTTTGAGTTATACCTCGCCGGCATCCCTCCGTGTGAGCCAGACCGATTCCTGCACATCATTTTCTCCCCATAGATGACTACAGTCTGACAGCACACTTTCCCCCTTTGCATCATATTTTTCACTTTTCTTGCAAATACCTTGAATTACTTGTTTCGAAGCGTGGCTCTATGAATATCCCCCCTCCCCTCAGTGCACCTCTTCTCTGCTCGTTTTCCCTCTCTCCGTCTCTTGGAGGAAAGGGCGTGTCATCGTGTGTTTTATAGCTGCTGGCTGCAGAATTGGTGAAGTCGTGTTTGGACACAAAGCAGGACAGCCAACATGAATTATAAATATGATGAATGCAAAACCTGCCGGGTCTACCTGTATGCCTGCCTGTATATCTACTGTACCTATCTCCCTTGTTGCCAGTATATCTGCCTCCCTGCCAGTATATCTTATTGGTTTACCTGCTTTACTGTCTGTCTACCTGTGAAATTGGTTTGCTGCGGGTTAGCCTTCCCGTCAAACTGCTTTACTGCACAATAACTTTCCCTTCAAACTGCTTTACTGCACAATAACTTTCCCGTCAAACTGCTTTACTGCACATTAACTTTCCCGTCAAACTGCTTTACTGCACAATAACTTTCCCGTCAAACTGCTTTACTGCACAATAACTTTCCCGTCAAACTGCTTTACTGCACAATAACTTTCCCGTCAAACTGCTTTACTACACGTTAACTTTCCCGTCAAACTGCTTTACTACACATAACTTTCCCGTCAAACTGCTTTACTACACGTTAACTTTCCAGTCAAACTGCTTTACTGCACAATAACTTTCCCGTCAAACTGCTTTACTGCACATTAACTTTCCCGTCAAACTGCTTTACTACACGTTAACTTTCCCGTCAAACTGCTTTACTACACGTTAACTTTCCCGTCAAACTGCTTTACTGCACAATAACTTTCCCGTCAAACTGCTTTACTACACGTTAACTTTCCCGTCAAACTGCTTTACTACACGTTAACTTTCCCGTCAAACTGCTTTACTACACGTTAACTTTCCCGTCAAACTGCTTTACTGCACAATAACTTTCCCGTCAAACTGCTTTACTGCACAATAACTTTCCCGTCAAACTGCTTTACTACACGTTAACTTTCCCGTCAAACTGCTTTACTACACATTAACTTTCCCGTCAAACTGCTTTACTGCACAATAACTTTCCCGTCAAACTGCTTTACTGCACAATAACTTTCCCGTCAAACTGCTTTACTACACATTAACTTTCCCATTAAACTGCTTTACTACACGTTAACTTTCCCGTCAAACTGCTTTACTGCACATTAACTTTCCCGTCAAACTGCTTTACTGCACATTAACTTTCCCGTCAAACTGCTTCACTGCACAATAACTTTCCGTCAAACTGCTTTACTGCACGATAACTTTCCCATCAAACTGCTTTACTGCACGTTAAATTTTACGTCAAACTGCTTTACTGAACGTTAAATTTCCCGTCAAACTGCTTTACTGCACATGAACTTTCCCATCAAACTGCTTTACTGCACGTTAACTTTCCCGTCAAACTGCTTTACTGCACAATAACTTTCCCGTCAAACTGCTTTACTGCACAATAACTTTCCCGTCAAACTGCTTTACTACACGTTAACTTTCCCGTCAAACTGCTTTACTACACGTTAACTTTCCAGTCAAACTGCTTTACTACACGTTAACTTTCCCGTCAAACTGCTTTACTGCACATTAACTTTCCCGTCAAACTGCTTTACTACACGTTAACTTTCCCGTCAAACTGCTTTACTGCACATTAACTTTCCCGTCAAACTGCTTTACTGCACATTAACTTTCCCGTCAAACTGCTTTACTGCACAATAACTTTCCGTCAAACTGCTTTACTGCACGATAACTTTCCCATCAAACTGCTTTACTGCACGTTAAATTTTACGTCAAACTGCTTTACTGCACGTTAAATTTTACGTCAAACTGCTTTACTGAACGTTAAATTTCCCGTCAAACTGCTTTACTGCACATGAACTTTCCCATCAAACTGCTTTACTGCACGTTAACTTTCCCGTCAAACTGATTTACTGCACAATAACTTTCCCGTCAAACTGCTTTACTGCACAATAACTTTCCCGTCACACTGCTTTACTGCACAATAACTTTCCCGTCAAACTGCTTTACTACACGTTAACTTTCCCGTCAAACTGCTTTACTACACGTTAACTTTCCAGTCAAACTGCTTTACTGCACAATAACTTTCCCGTCAAACTGCTTTACTACACATTAACTTTCCCATCAAACTGCTTTACTACACGTTAACTTTCCCATCAAACTGCTTTACTGCACATTAACTTTCCCGTCAAACTGCTTTACTGCACATTAACTTTCCCGTCAAACTGCTTTACTGCACAATAACTTTCCGTCAAACTGCTTTACTGCACGATAACTTTCCCATCAAACTGCTTTACTGCACGTTAAATTTTACGTCAAACTGCTTTACTGAACGTTAAATTTCCCATCAAACTGCTTTACTGCACATGAACTTTCCCATCAAACTGCTTTACTGCACGTTAACTTTCCCGTCAAACTGCTTTACTGCACAATAACTTTCCCTTCAAACTGCTTTACTGCACAATAACTTTCCCGTCAAACTGCTTTACTGCACATTAACTTTCCCGTCAAACTGCTTTACTGCACAATAACTTTCCCGTCAAACTGCTTTACTGCACAATAACTTTCCCGTCAAACTGCTTTACTGCACATTAACTTTCCCGTCAAACTGCTTTACTGCACAATAACTTTCCCGTCAAACTGCTTTACTGGACGTTAACCTTCCCGTTAAACTGCTTTACTGCACAATAACTTTCCCGTCAAACTGCTTTACTGCACATTAACTTTCCCGTCAAACTGCTTTACTGCACAATAACTTTCCCGTCAAACTGCTTTACTACACGTTAACTTTCCCGTCAAACTGCTTTACTACACGTTAACTTTCCCGTCAAACTGCTTTACTGCACATTAACTTTCCCGTCAAACTGCTTTACTACACGTTAACTTTCCCGTCAAACTGCTTTACTACACGTTAACTTTCCCGTCAAACTGCTTTACTGCACAATAACTTTCCCGTCAAACTGCTTTACTGGACATTAACTTTCCCGTCAAACTGCTTTACTGCACAATAACTTTCCCGTCAACTGCTTTACTGCACAATAACTTTCCCGTCAAACTGCTTTACTGCACAATAACTTTCCCGTCAAACTGCTTTACTACACATTAACTTTCCCGTCAAACTGCTTTACTGCACATTAACTTTCCGTCAAACTGCTTTACTGCACGTTAACTTTCCCGTCAAACTGCTTTACTGCACATTAACTTTCCCGTCAAACTGCTTTACTACACGTTAACTTTCCCGTCAAACTGCTTTACTGCACATTAACTTTCCCGTCAAACTGCCTTACTACACGTTAACTTTCCCGTCAAACTGCTTTACTGCACATTAACTTTCCGTCAAACTGCTTTACTGCACGTTAACTTTCCCGTCAAACTGCTTTACTGCACATTAACTTTCCCGTCAAACTGCTTTACTACACATTAACTTTCCCGTCAAACTGCTTTACTGCACATTAACTTTCCGTCAAACTGCTTTACTACACATTAACTTTCCCTTCAAACTGCTTTACTACACGTTAACTTTCCCGTCAAACTGCTTTACTGCACATTAACTTTCCGTCAAACTGCTTTACTGCACGTTAACTTTCCCGTCAAACTGCTTTACTGCACATTAACTTTCCCGTCAAACTGCTTTACTGCACAATAACTTTCCGTCAAACTGCTTTACTGCACGATAACTTTCCCATCAAACTGCTTTACTGCACGTTAAATTTTTACGTCAAACTGCTTTACTGCACGTTAAATTTTACGTCAAACTGCTTTACTGAACGTTAAATTTCCCGTCAAACTGCTTTACTGCACATTAACTTTCCCATCAAACTGCTTTACTGCACAATAACTTTCCGTCAAACTGCTTTACTGCACGATAACTTTCCCATCAAACTGCTTTACTGCACGTTAAATTTTACGTCAAACTGCTTTACTGCACGTTAAATTTTACGTCAAACTGCTTTACTGAACGTTAAATTTCCCGTCAAACTGCTTTACTGCACATTAACTTTCCCGTCAAACTGCTTTACTGCACATTAACTTTCCAATCAAACTGCTTTACTGCACGTTAACTTTCCCATCAAACTGCTTTACTGCACATTAGTATACCCGTTTAACTTCTTTATCGTAATTGCCTCTTTTCCGGTCTATCTCATGCACTAGTTTTTTTATATAGTTGTCTTTCTTGCTGTCTTACTTTGTTTCCTGCTTGCCTTTGCCCTAATTCTTGCTCTGCTTTTTGCCTGACTGTCTACATCCTGTCTAAGTCTTTGTCCCTTAGCTTGTCCCACTGCTTTGCCACACTCTTGCTGCTTCCTTGCCTGTGTTGCTGACTGCCTCACCCCGGTCTCGATTCTTCTGGCTGCGTCTTCAGAGGAAAATGAATGTCCACGCTGCCCAGCCTGCTTCTCCCTCAGCCAGCAGCAGACTCAGGGGCTTGACAATGTCTGAACATTCAGGCCCGGTGTGACCCAAACCTGAAAACATTCCGTCCAGACTGTATCCAGGCTGAGGGGAAAAGGCTTTCTGTGAGCCAAACCTGACTGAAGCTGAGTGGACCTCTGCTGTACATCATCTTAAAACACATGGGAGATTTGAATTAACTGATGTTCTTTTTACCTCTGTTCTGTTAGATTACCTGGTTCCTGTTTGATCACTTGGTTTCTGTTGTATTACCTTGTTCTGTTGGCGCGGCTGGAGGTCCTTGCCCCACTCTGCACTGTTTTGTTCTGGTAGGAACTGTCTCCGCTGTCGTTGCGTTTGCGACCCAGAGCAAACTCCAGCGTCTCATTAAGCCTGTCTTGCTCCAGGCTGCTCAGGTCCGCCTCCACTGGCCCCACCTCTGATGAGAACAAACTGTCTCCCTCTGTCAGCAGCTGATTGGTTGAGATGTTGATGAGCAGCTCATCTGGGCCAATTCGGCCATCCAGCAGAACCCTCCAGATGAGATTTGGGGAGTCTGGCACCACATCCAGGGAGCCACCGGCAGTAGCAGGCTTGGCAGTGCTATGGCTGCTGTTTCCTTCTGATAGATCAAAGCGGAAAAAAATCAGCTGTGTCTGGAGAGCAAATTGATATATCTTACAATCTACAGTTTGTACTTGAGAACATAATTTACACATTTACACACAGCTCAGATTGAAAGGCTTTTCAGCTGTTTTCTGGTCAATATTAGTTTTCAGTGGGAATGAACACAAGCAAAGAAATTTCTTCGGAAATATCACACCTGGATATCAAAAGACATTTACCTAAACTTTTCTCAGCTCTACATTGGTCTCTACTTCCTGTTTCATTGTAGCTTTAACATCAAGAAATCAAAAGCCAAAGCATTGATATTCCACATTTTCACATACAAAGAGGTACCGTTTTTTTATATACACCCGTATAATCTAATGTTATCCAGTACAACAGCCTCTCAATACATTCTATTGCTGTGAATGCTCAGACTTTGTTGACACTGTGTCAGAGAGGTGTCGAATCATGACTACAGACACTTTTGCGGACTTAAATGGTGCTGTTAGTCATGTTGTTGTATTGGACCAAATTATACTCCAACAGGTTTATATGCATTTAAGTAACTTGAATATTGCTGGCTTTTTTCTGTGACCTGATATTTTCAAACTAAAGTTTGTTTAAACCCACAGAATTTGACTTTGAATTGTAGAGGAGTTTGAAAGTTTCCAAATAAACCAAAACTTCAGGCTGAAGTGGGGAAATGTGTATAAATTGATGCACAAATCATCTATGATGTAAGATTAAGCTATACAATTATTTTAAAAACCGATTTACTACTTAGATGGAAACACAAAGGGGACCTCTCAATGTTATGGGAAATTGTGATTGATAAGTAGACTTGTGCTACTCTGCACTATTCAGTTAAATTTAGAGATGATTTGAAGGAAATGTCCAACACACTGAGTGAATCAAAAATGCCAGAAGAGAGAGAAACAAAAAAAGAACAGGACTGCAAGGAGATAAACTCAGTTCAGACAGTTTCAGTCAGCGCTCAGTATCTGACCTGTAGTATGACGTCAGCCTGTGTAGAAAGTGTATGGTGAACCTTTCATCCCCCTATCCATCTCATCTCATCAGCCAAAGCAGTGGTGTAATGGACTCAACAGTCAGCTGAGCGAGCTGAGAGCCCGCAGGAAGGCCATTACCGCTCATGTTTGTGATGAAGCCATTTTTTAAAAGGAGAAAACACCACGAAACTCTAAATTTTTCATCTGGCGCTGATCCTCTTTATATGTCTGTGCTATGAATAATTCAGAGCTCCAAAGGGCCATCTCACACACACACACAGAAAAAAAGGGCGAGATTTGGTTTAAAATCTGACCTATTTTGTCTCGTCTGCCAATGGGCCACTGAACCACCTTCTGATTTATCCTCTGTTTTTTCCTTCTCACACACTCTCTGTCTCTCTTTTTCTTTTACTTAGAGTCCAGCCAATATTTCAACATGGACGAGATTTTCTTTTCACAGATATGCTGTATAGTTTTTAGCTGATATAATTATCATAATGTCTTGTGGGAACAAGTTCAACTCTGCATAGTAATAAAGGCATGATAGGCCTATGCTTTGAAATTACAGGGGTGAGTTGGATTTATAGTTTTACAACTTTCTATGTTGCTTTATTTTGACAGTCAATATTTATAATCAATTACAAATTATTGTTCCACGCACAAAATAAAAAAATATCACCTTACGGGACTTTAGGGGCTCTGTGGCAGTACTGATGGCACTGTTTATTTTTCAACTGCTACTTACTGTAAAAATCAGTACCCATCTTGGCCACAATTCTAAAATGACCAAATTATAGAGAAGCAAAAAACACTTGTTTGTATGTTTGGGAATAAGCAAGGAATATCGGCCGGTGAATGTTAATATCTAAACTCAGTATCAACTTCAAAATTTTTTTTTTTCAAGCTGAACATTCCCACTGTCTATTTCTGGTTATGCCTGGAAGTGTTAAACATCAAAGAAATGACGTCTAATTACTGAAAATGTCACCATAGTCAATAAAAACAACAATATCTCAGATGATCACTTTATCCATTTAACAACAGTACCCTTAATACATTAAAGTATATATTTTTAATTGTAACTCATTGTAAGGCATGGAAACAGAAATCAGCTGGCATATTTACAGTTTATTACGGGTGCCAATTACAACACACACCATTGTCTTCTATACTCGCTAGTGGGGTGGGATTTGGGTTAGCCAGGAGAACTAGGCACTGGTTATTATTCGTTTATAAGGCTATAATGCATAAACTTCCCAGCTATCTGACCACTAAAATAAATTGGAAAGTCGGTGGTTATCAGACACATCCCAAAGAATGGTTAGTCTCAGAAATTCCCTGAGGTCATTCTGAGCAAGGGAAAACCGCCTTTGAATATAATGCTGCGAATTGTGGGAATAAATTACAGGAAAAGGTTAAATTAGATGTCCAGATTTCAACAGGACAATTTAAAGCAATGTGGAATGAACACTGTCCTCACAAATGTAACTGTTACCTAAAATTGTCTGTTGTTTTTTTTAAATTATATTTATATATCTGTTGAATATTTGTATCTGTTTGCTGTACACAGGGCTCAGCTGTAAAAGAGACATTGATCTAAGTCTGATTCTCTGTATAAATAAAGGTGAAAAAATATACATTATTATTAGCTATCGTCAGTTTGTTTGAACCTGTATGATTTTAGTATGCCTTGAATCCAGGGCTGGCCTGTGGCATAGGTGATGTAGATACATGATGTACATATATAAAAGCAATCTACAGAATGCCTGAAAGCCTTACTACATTATATTCTATTCATTTTTTATATTTTGAATTGTCACCTGCAGCCTAAATATTGTGTTTCCCTTTATATAGATAATGACATTTCCACCATAAATTGGTGCAGAAAATGCAGAATGCAGGAAATTAAATCTCTTCATTTGTGTTCCCTCCACTGTCGAAACTAAACCAATGCTCTTGCATTTCAAGAAAATGACCCCATAAATTCACAACAATGCAAGAAAACAGTCTATTTAAAATCTTTCCAAGGGCTCCAACACTACAGGGCCGGCCCTGCTTGAACCGAGCATATAGCGCATCATTCAACTCCACAGAAATCACTTGATTTTCACCTGACATATAGGACCATCTTGTGCAGAAGAGATTAGCCAATCAATAAATGATCTGATAAACAGAAAATGAATCAGCAACAGTTTTGATATTCAATTAACTGTTTCAGCCATTTTTCAAATAAAATGCCAAATGTTCTCTTGTTCCAGCAAGTGTTGACTTGCTGCTTTTCTGTTTGATATAATTATAAATTCATTGGCTGGTCCAACATAACATTATTTAATGAAAATAACCGTTAGTTGTGCTTGTACCTTCCATGCATGGATAGATGTTTACCATGGTAGGATCAAACCTTTAAGCTTCTAACTCAGGCAGTGTGTGTGTATTTGCTCATTCTTGCAAGGTTGGTGCCTGAAATAGCCCATTTCATACATCCAAACAGGTCTAAGGTGCTACACGCAGGCCTTACCTGTAGATTTTGGGGCAGCTGCTACATCCTGGTCACAGCTGATTTCCGCTGTCTCCTCATACACCTCGTTGGTCTCTTGGCCCTTCTGCACCTCGGCCCCTCCCGGCTCTAACTGGCCCTCAGGGGCCGCCTGGTCATAAATACTGCTGTTCGGTGGCAGCAGACTCCCCACCTCCACAGAAACCTCTCCGGCTGAGGTGTCTGATCCCGTGTAGAGTGGAGGAGGTGGGATGGGTGGCAGGGAGTCTCGAAGGACGGTGTATTCGTAAGTGATGTACGGTGTGCGACCGTTCTGGTTCCACACCTGAGTGAAGAGAGGCGAGGTTAGTTTATACAGGTTTCAAACCAGCAGCAAGGACAGTCAAAAACCAGGACCAAATCAATGTAAACTTATATTTCTGTATATTTAAAATCACCTCCTGAATTTCAACTGCCTTTAAAATTTAATTTAATTAAATTTTTTTCTACTTCTGACAAAAGGTTATAAAAAGGTGAACTCTGTCTTTATGAATTAACTGTAGATGTAGCAGAGATGTCAGCATATTTTTTGTTTTGTACTGAACTTGGCTTTACTTGCCACACATACACTATCAGCCCTAATAGGTGCAAATCGGCCACAGCTTTCCAGATAACTGGAATAAGATTAGGATTTAGGGGGAGAATATGACGCTCTTTAAGGCCAGGTTCAAAACAAGACAGAAGTCTGTGACGTTTTACATGCTATGCATCTTGGCTCATAGGCCTGATGATAAAAACTCGATGTTAGCTGAGATGAACCAGCGGAGTCACAGTGAGCCTCCAGGAGGAGATCTATGTTCCAGCTTCCTGCAGAGAGATCAATCAAACCTGGCCTGTGACATGGACACTTTTTGAGATATATGGCCACTGTCAAAACACAAGGCCTGTATTCTATCAACTTCAGACACAGACTCAATATTACGTCTGCATTACGTTTACATCGTAGACATATGGTAGACCAGGAGACGATACAAACATTTTGGGCATGTCTGATGCGCTACGGGGGCTGAGCTGCTCTAACATCACCGCTTTATTCCCAAATGAGCATTTTTATGCCAGGAAATATTCTGAATAGACAATTTGTTGAGCCAAGTGTTGGCAGTCTCCACTGCTACCCAGAAAATAAAGTGCCTCATGAGTCAGCAGTCTTAACCAGAGTGATCGTTATTACGTTTAAGAGTTAAGAACAGTAGCCTAAAGCTTTAATTCTTGGGCTTCTTTATTTAAGACTGCAGAGGCCAAAACAACAAACATTCCTTTGTTTCTGTAATTTAAAGGTTTTTAGAGAACCATAGTTTAATATTACAATGTAATGGGGCGGTAGTTTGCAATTCATACATGTGCACATTTCACTTTTGGAGTCACAGTACAAGCAGGTGCAGGTCAGAGGTCAGACTCTTCTTCACAGACACTATGGAGGTTACTAAATTAAACAAATTGGTGCAGATGGGTACCAACAAGATGACTTTCTGTATCATCCTGACCTTAAAAGAGTACTATACAATTTTTAAAAAAAGTTGGAGATTTGGGTGGAACAGGCATGTGAGCTCACTTCTCTCTAACTCCACACCCCCAGATTATTTTCATTTTCAAAGCCGATTCGATTTGCAACAAAGGTGCCTGGCCTGAATCATAACCGGTGACGGTGAGTTGCTGCAGTCACTATGATGACATAACATGCACACTCTCTATCGGACATTTAGCTCCACAACGAAGAAGCAGCAGGTGAATGTAGAGGAAAAGTTAAAGCTAGAGAGGTGAATTGAAGAAGGTTAAGTGTACCAGAATATTGATGGCCTGGTCGATGGGGCCTTTGGCAACAATGTACTCTATCCCGGTCTCGTAGACATCCATGGGTCGCCGGTACTTAAAAACGGTTCCTGCTGCGTGGAAGTTCTGGGGACTGTCCACCTTGTAAGCCCCGTTAAAGAAGAAGTTGCCTGCCTGGTCAGTCACAGCTGGGGAACAAGATAAATGGAGAACTCTGAGAGTTACAAATCACACTGGATACAGCAAACTCTGGTTTGAGTCAGAAAAGGGCCTGCATTTTCTCTCTTTCTTAAAATTAGACATCTCCATTAAACATTTAAAAGAGAGTTTTGTTCTCGCACAAGTGTCTTTTGTGAACAAATGTAAATGGTTACGTATGTGAGGAGCAGGAAAAGTACCCACCTAGAACATCAGCCGACTTCTTCCTCTCAATGATCTGGATGTCCCATGATCCTTCAGGGATTTGAGTGATAAAGGAGTAACCTTGATGACAGGAAATAGAAAGTGTCAGAATCATCGCATGCTTTTTGATTTAACCAAGAAGACTGTTCTGACCACTCCTAATGACTAAAACTAAATATCTGGGTGTATATCAGATAGAGTAGATAGAATATCAGATATTCAAATTGATGTCTAACAAAGAGTGTTTTTTGGGACCCACCCAGAGTCATGGCTCCACGGCGGAAGTTTCCGGTGACCCTGCTGCAGCTGCTGCCGTCCCCCTGACAGACCCCACACTTATCCAAGGTGTTGGAGGAAAACAGTACTCCGTCACATCCGATTGGCTGAGCAGCAAAGCAGGAAGTGGGAGCAGAGAGGATAAATTAAAAAAATAAAAACTTCTATAAATCATAAATAAATGAAATTACCAGTAATAACATGGTAATGATGCAGAAGCTAGCAAATATGTTCTACCATTTTAAGAAGTTGCTCGGTTGCTGGTGTTACATGAACCCATTGCAGCCTTACAGCTTGTGGTCTTCTTTCCACTTTTGGACTCACTGTGTAACTTTTTGGATACAAGGATGAATATTTTGTAACTTTTTACCTCATTTACTTTTTATTGCTAGTCAGAAAGCTGAGATTGTACTGCAGCAGCTTGCTGCCTGTGGGTTTGTTGGACATACAAACTCGGTGTGGTGCTTTCAGTGGTGCTGAAAACTGAAAGTGGAGTGAAACTGTTTGAGGGGGAGTAAAACAAGAAGAAGCTGGACTCACCTCACACTTACCGTCCACGCAGACGCCGCGGTAACTGCTGTACTTGCATGAAGTGCCGTCTCGTGCCATCACCATCAGCTGCCTCTGGCCGTCGGTGGTGGTGCAGTGGAGGTCACAGGGGTTACTAGAGATGTGAACGTAGTCGTCTGGAGAGGAACACAAGTCACTGGTCACTGTCTTATAACCAATAACAATGGAAATAATTCACTTCTGTTAGCACAGCTATTGCTTCTACTACAACTGCCTTTATTGCTACCACTCGCTGCAGTATACCACAAGCATCCCACTGATGCTTGTATAGCAATAGAAGTATAACTGCAAGCATCAATATTTGGTAAACAGACAGCCTTGTATAGTTGTGTTTTTGTTATAGGTACAGTTGGTTTACCAGAGCTGCCTGCTTCACTAAACATATTACCTGTAACACTCTGTAGAGATGCAGAGTTGATGAGGATTCTCTTTGGGTTCAGCACTGTGTCCATTTATTGTAAAAACTATTAATTAGTGGAGTCATGTTAAACCCGTCTCCCCTGTGTCTCACATTCCCCACAAACGTCTGTCTGACCCCTTCTCTGTCTGAACCACAAGGAGGACTGTTGGAGTTGTAGGATCTCTCGACTCAAGAGCACTTTTGGATATTAATTAGGAACAGGTTTTAAAACAACATCCCAGCAGTTACATCTGAAAAGAGACCTAAAAACCATTCAAGCATATCAGAAGACAACATTTGCTTTAAGAAAGGATGCTACTGTGTTGGATGCAGGGCTCAGCAGCTCATACAGTAAAGGCCTCAGTCAACTCTGGTCTGTTTAACGGGGTAAAGAGAGGTTGGGAAGCATTTTATGGGTGTTATTACCAGGATACAGAGGTTTCCACTGGTAGTTCCTCCCATTGTAAAGCTGGGAGTTGAAGGACCAGCACTGCTCCTCTCTGAAGCTCCTCCCCGTCGCAGGACATTCCTGCAGTGCAGAGAGACAGCACAGACCATTAAAAGAGGTCTGTTTCACACTTGTTAAGACTCGGTTTTACAGTATGTTATACAAATAAAACATTTTTAACCGTTTATTTGTGCAGGGATGGTTTCCTGAGAATGCATGAGCGGTCTGAACCCCACCCGGCTTCACTTTCAAACATCTACATACAGTCACGCCTGGAGGCTGCCCGCCACAACCACAGTCCTCTACCGTCAGCCAGTCCGAAGGACTATGTTTGTTGTAGTAAAGATGTGAAATAAAGTGATGAGAAAGTAACTGGAAGTCTGCAACTCACTTTAGTGTTGCAGAGATGATATTTCTTAGCAGTTCCTGTACAGGTCATGTTGTCTTTCCCAGCAGCAACTTTTTTTCTTTAGACAGAAAACAAACATTTGGAGAAATAACAACATATTTTTAAAAAGACTGGATATAAATCAAAATGAAACATAATAAAATACCAGGTTGAGATGCATGTTGTGTTATCATCTGTCAGCTGAAAGGAAAACCTATATGCTTCAACTTTCCTCAGTTTTGCCTGCACCCAGAGCACTCCCCTCATTTACAGAGGCCCACCAGATGATGCAAAACTAGGGCTGTTGTTCCGACTACAGATTGTACTTTTTGTTGTATAACTGCCTCCACGGACAGTCAGATCAAGAGGGGGTCGCTCCTCACCAAATCAAAACATTCTGTCCAAAATCAACCAGTGGCAGAAGGCAATGTTCATATATACATGGAAGTAAACGCTTTTTAATTGTGTAAGTGGAATCAGACATTCTGGGCTACTTATGAAGGAGGAAGAGGCTGCCACACAAATGAGTCAAGCACCGCCAGCAGGTGTGCCAGGGCCAACTGGTGGTGCCGCGGCAGTAGATGTGCACCAATGGAAACAGAAGTGGAGCTGCTGCGCTGCAGTGAATTTCATGTTGGATGAAGTTGCTGAGTTTACAGAAGAAAGGGGCACAATGTAACGTTACACTAAAGCTTTAGGCCACATATGGACAGGGGAGTGCTTAAGACGTAAAACTGGAAAAAACAACCAAAGCCAGTGGAGCGAGAGTAAGTATAATGGCGACAGAGTTTTGTTATTATCAGGGCAACGTTACACTATGAACACACAATACGCGTTTTTTACAACGCTTTGCCAGACCCACCCAGTTTGTTACCTGGTGGTGCTATCAGATTTTAGTCTAACGTTAGTAGCTCTGACCAGCTCTTTGTAGGAGCTGAGGAAGTTTGGGAGTGGGCGTGGTGGCCTAGTGAATTCTGGATGTTGAAGGTTTTTAATCTTATATGCAATAGGGAATACCACAGTCCTTTTTGTTTTGTTTTCTCTGGTCATGTAGCCCCAATTTCAAAAATATTTGCATCTTTCGACTGCATACGCAGCCCTGTTTTATGAAAATACCATGCCTTTTAAAAGAAGTTCACCCCAAACATACTAATCAACTAAATTCATCTACAATTTGACTGCTAACACAGGTGTCTGTTAAGCATTTGGCTGTTAAGTTCCAAACATTTTTAGCTTATACTCTTGTTTTGGTTGCAATAAATAGTTATACCTTGGTTATATGCAGACTGCGAGAATACACAGAGGTCCAACCACAAGAAGCGTGTCATTGCTATGACAAGGAGGTGTTATTGTCTATTGTCTGATTTTAAGAGCAAGATGTTGTTCTAAAAGGATGATTTGAATTGATAAATAGAACACAGAATTCCACAAGGAAAAGAAGTGTTCAGTGTATGAAATGTTTTGCTTCATTATGGACAGCCAGTTTCCTGACATCTGAACTTGAATAAAACTCATTTGTTAACTTTTAATAAAACACTTTGAGTGTAGCCCTGATGTATAGATGTACACATCTGTATGTGTGTGTGTGTGTGTGTGTGTGTGTGTGTGTGCAGACTAGCTGACCTCTGTTTGAGGCAGTGTCTTTCCTGTGACATCACTCCCCCTCCACAGGTACGAGTGCAGGCTGTCCACTTGGCCCACTCCCCCCACCAGTACGTGGTGACCTCCAGCTCCTCCTCCAGACTGTTGGACGCCACGCCGTCCTCCTGAAAACACAAACACACAAATACATAAACACACACAGATAGTGGTAATTCAGTTGGCAGTTGCAGCAGAAGAATTAGTCATATTAACAGTATTAAGACGTATGGAGAAGCAGCTGTTTGTATTTACAGTACATCCAAGTCTGCCAACATTTTCAGACAATCTAAACCTCTTCAGCTTAGGGAATCAAATCAGAGGACTTTTACTATTCTATTTATATCGTTCTCTACAGCTGTGTCACTTTCACTCTTTGAATTGCAATGTTGTAAGAAGGGGTGTAATTAAATTACATATAATATGTTTGATTTACAATAAGCACAGCACTGGGTGATGGCCCACTGCTTACCAAGTTCATTTGGCCCACACACCACCAGGGACTGAGTGATGAATCCATCAGAATGCGGCTGCACGACCATAACCACAACACAACCTTGAGCTCTGAGGCCGGGTTTAACATGGGCCTCAACTGGACCACAGCAATTTAGCCCTTCTAAGACTAGGCCTGCTTCCCTAAAAGCAGATTACATTTGATTTGTTGCATGTGGGCGATATTTGGTCCAGAATCTCAATTCTGTCACAATCCTCATACTAAATCTTACATGTGGCTGTTTACTTTTTTCTTTTTTTTTAACCTTTATCTCTCTGGGGAAACTTCACAGTGAGCAATGCTCTCTTCTTCATACGGGCCCACAGTGCTGCTGCTATTGCTGGACCTGGTTAATAAGTGCCTAAACACATACCATCTGCCATAGTAGTAGCCAAAGTAGCAGCAGAAACTGCAATAATAGTAATCATAGCAGTAATGGGAGTGGCACAGTAGTGGTGGACACCTCTGCGGTAGAGGTAGTAGTAATCAAGGTAATAGTTAGTAAAAGTAGAATTAGTAGAAGCCGTTGTGGTAGTAATTGTAACAGCAGTTGCAGTGATTGTAATCGTTTAAGTAGTACTCCAATTTCACTGCGTGGCAGTAAATGAGTGTCTGAGTGTTTTGAGCTGGGGCTGCAACGCGTGAAGATGGTCAGCATTTACCGCATTCCTGATGTGCAGGAGCAGCATTAATTCAGGCCTATGGCTGCGTCACTTCATTCAGAGAGATTCATCAGAGTGACCACTGGAATGTGCAATAAGCTCCTTGTAAAGGTGTGAGAAAGAGCAGCTGTGAGAGAGGGCGAGAGACACTGGAAATACCAGACAGAGAGCGTAAGTGAGGGAGAGACAGGGAGAGATCGATGGGTATAGAGAAAAGAGAGAGACAGGAGGGTTAGGATAGGAAGAGAAGAGTAAATGATTGGTGGACTGACAGATCAGTGTGACAGCAACTCATCACAGTGCTCAGACCACTTTTTAAACTTTTTTTAGTTTTAATTTGATTAACTTGATTGACTTTTTTTTATTCTATTTTAATCTATTTTCCAAATGTAATTTTTCTTGTGATTGCAGTCGTCTCATTAAAAACAATTACACATTTTAGTCCTGAAATTGTCTATGACTTACAATAATAACATGATGACATTAACATTTATGGCAATGACAGTGTCTTTCATAGTTTTTCCAAGCAGGTGGACCTGCCCTATAATTGAGCTCTGTATGTTTTTTCAGTATCAACAAGAGTGGGGAGTCCTGAGAAAGCAGCTGCAATTTGACATTTGAGGTGAAAGTAAATATGGAAGCCACGTCAGGATACCCCTCTAAATAAAGGAGTACCAGTACATTTTCATGAACATTACGGTGTCTGTAAGAGATACCTGCGTAAGTGGAAATCTTCTAATTATTGTGTGTCTACTTGAAAATCATTGAGTTTAGGCTTCTTGTGTGGGAAACAGGATTAATACACAAGAAGTAAAACTAATTGAATAACTAATAACGTTGATATGATCTATCCACGTAGCTACTAACTGGCTGTCAAAGTCTCTGGCTAGCTCTGCGGTCATCACTGACCTATTGATACTCACTGAAAGTGAAGCTAAAACTGACAACCGGTAGAAAAAGTCCGTCCACTCTGCCTGCTGCTGAAGAGACACTGTGACTCTGATCTAAGTAGACTTTGTCTGGCGTTTTCCTCAGCTTCGATGTCACTGCTGAGGAGGTGAGTGTTGTTGTGATGGAGCCGTTCCTTCCGAATGTGTCACATCATGTCGTCGTCGAGGGAAAATGTCAACAGGTGTGAATGTGGCAACTGATTTAGTCTGCACAAGTTTATAGAGAGCTTCAGCATTTGTGAGCTACAGTAGACTGGCACTGGCCAGACAAAGTATTTACTGTATCTATGTAGTAGAATCAGAATCAGAATCACATACAAGGGATTTGCTTTGGTGTTAAGTTGCTACACGCAGACAGACATACAACTGACAATATAAAAAAATAAAAATAACAATGGAACAGCAACAATTTACAATTAACAATAGAACAGGGCTTCTCAAATACAAGTCGTAGTGGTCCACTTGGAGATGGGATTGAGCAAGTAATATTTAAGCTCCAAAAACTCCAGAACTATGTCAGTAAAAATCCTTTCTGTTGACCTTTGTTGTGTAACCACAATCTTAAGCTTAAGCTTTGGCACAAAAGGCAGACATACACTGCATTCTTCACTGTATTCATATTTTAAAATGCTGATTACTGCCTCCACCTCCGACATGTACATAATAATAATAATGATAATAATAATTTACTCCTGCATTCTTTGCATTCTGCTCATTGCACTATTTGTCAGTCTGTCTATGATGTTTTTGTTTTTGTTTATACATGTGTTCTTTATACTGTAGCCTGTGTCTGATTTTATTATTGTATTATTGTATGACTAAGCACATCGTGAGCAATGTACAATCCTGAGTCAAATTCCTCAAGTGTGTACACATACCTGCCAAATAAAGCTGATTTTGATTCTGATTCTGATTATTAGGATGTCTGTTGACTCAGTTTTGTTTGTCTATTGTCCAAAGGACATTCTGGTAAATGCGGACACTAAATACAGCTTCATCTGAAAGATGAACATGAGGTGACATGATAGCAATGTTCCGACTCTGTGGGTTATACAGGGTTTCTTTCATTGGCTTTTCAAAAAGTTTAAACAGGATATAATTGTTTACATTTTAAAATGGCTGAATTTGGTTGTAAAGCAAACCTTGTAGTTTTAACTTTGCATTTACATCTATGGGCATTGTCCAAAGTGCATGGTGCAAGTGCATTTAGGGCGTGTCCCACTGCACCACTGCTAAACGGTGCAAAGTGAGGCATAAGGCACAAAGGTGTTGTATTTAGTCTCTTAATTAGTCATTGGTCATCCGGTGTGTTTTTGCCATAACCAATTAATTAAACCAACCAGTGCCATCTCGCCTTCCTTTTAAAAGCCAGGTGTGCCTGATGAATGGCAAATTATAAAAAACAGCAATTGATTAAAAAAAAAAGTGTGATGCAGACTCACAGCAGAGAGAGAGAGAGCTCATGCGGGCAAGTGAAAGACAGGGAACGTGAATGTGGACAGCAGTGTCTACGTAAAGCCATACAACTGTAGTGTTTTGCACCGGATAATGTCAGCAACTGCTTGGCATTAACTGGCGAACTAACGTTATCTAACTTAAACCAACTAAAGCACAACATCAAATATATTTCACATACTTTGCAGTAATGTTAGTTTACCTGTCCAGGTGGATGAAAGCCAACTCGGTTTTGTTTGGTTTCAAAACAAACGCCTTGCTGTTTCCTGTGTTGTTGCACTTGATTGATGTTTTACTGTGTTAGCAAAGTTGTGACTTTTTGATCATAGGTAATACAATTTAATCATAACAAATGCACATGTACAACAGTGACAAAAGACAGATTTAAATAAACAAGGAACTTCCACTGCTGTGCCTCATTTAATAGGGAGACGCTTCACCCTATTTCACCAACACACAATCAACCTGCTATAATCAGAATGTAAATTCTCACTGATCTGCAGATAACTTTGAGCTGTGCCTTTTTATGAATTACTGCAGAAAGCGACTGCGTCACTGACCAACAAAACCTGGTCTAAAGTCAGTGGCGCAATCTCTTTCTGCTGTGTCAAGATAGCAATGCACCAACAAATTGGCTGACCACATGTCATTTAAGACCAATTCGCCCATGGGTGCACAGAATGCCGCAAGTATATTTACTATTTACACAATGTAGGCGCAGAAGATGATGGACTGGCAACCTGTCCAGGGTCGTCCGATGTTGGGATTGGCTCCAGCACCCCCGCGACCCTGTACACAGAATAAGCGGCTGGCGATGGATGGATGGGGGCGGAAGATTGCGCCCCTGTCTTTTTGTCTTTTGACCTGCACATCACCAAAACAAATGCTTCCTGGACTGATGTGGCAGAAAACTAACATATGTCCCAAAATGTCAGAATAATGCAGCTCAGTCTGTCTGGTGTCATCACAATCCAGTCAAAGGTGTCTGAGAATTTATGTTTGTTAGTCAACCAATTACACACCATGACAAAAGACTGTGGAGGATGAAAACATTGTCAAGTCATCAGTGTTTTCCTGTGTGTCGTGTACCTGCAGTCCCCTTGTGGACAGGTTCCCCACAGATACTGCCAGCGTCAGGAAGCCCAGCAGGACCATGACCGTCTCCCCACACTGTTCCCATGACCACACCCTCATCCTGGTTAATCAGAGAGAGAGATGGTAGGTTTAATATGTGGACAAAAAAGAAATATCTGGTTGTTGAAGAGACCGTTCTCGTCATTGCTGCAGCCGCTTGGTGTGTCCAAAAGCAAGAACCTGAACCAAGCTAAATGTGTAGTAGTAAAATATTATGACCCTTAATGCGTATTAAACAGTTTTAAAACCATCAAGATCACTTCAACACAGAGGCAACTGCTGGGCAAATGTGTTGTAATGTTTCTGCCTAAATCTGCTTTGTGTCCTGTTTGTGATGAAAGACAATCAAATGCCTGAAACCAGCAACCTCTCAAGTGCTCAACACTCAGACCAACATCATACACGTGACAGTTTTCACCAAACACAAAGCAGCCAACGTTATTATTAATGAAGCGAATTTGGGCCAGAAATCTGTCAGTGTTTCTAGATGGAAGCATCCAGTGATGAGTCTTTAACAAAGGCTGAAGGGTATGAAGGGAAATATCATGACCACTAATGACTTCTCGTGGCATTAAAAACCCACGTCCAGGCACTTATGTGAATTGTGGATGAAAGAATATTGCTGAGACGTGTGGGTGTTTTTTCATGTCTTTCCCCTCTCCAAATTGAGGCTTCTCAGCTTCCAAACCCACAGAAGGGCCCGTAGTTGGATTTTTTTTTACGCCACGAGAACACATTTGTGGTCGTAATATTTCCTTTCTGACTCTCCAGTGTAATCCTTCGTCTCCAAGAACATCTGTGGTTGTTTAGGGAGGATACCTGAAGTGCTGCTGCTGGCTTTTACCTTTGCACAGGGAGGAGGGGTTTTTTGATGTTAAATCACATCAGCGTTGATCCAAGATTCAAGAGCACATAGCAGAAATTACAGGGACAGTTTCAAACAGCAGAAAGTGGACACACCCAAGACTTAGTGAAGTGCAGAAAGCTGTCACTGTTACCTCAGTGATTTTACAATACAAATTTACATTTTGGCCCATTGAAAGTATGTGAGCTGGAGTCTCAGCATTGTTAACTTAGCTTAGCATAAAGGAAGAGGGGAAAACAGCCAGCCAAGCTCTGTCCAAAGTTCAAAAATACAGTTACCAACACCTCTAACGCGTTCTAATTTGTTTTACCTTGCTTGATTGTTCATGATGCCTCAAGCTGTCTCACTTAACCCTGCACGTCTTCTTTCTCTCTCTAACAGCGTCATAAATGTGCTTACATAACAGAGTAAAGTGTTTAGAAAGCTCCTACCTGACTCACATTATTGCCTTAACTGCATTAGAGTTGTATCTTGTGAGTACATATAAAGCTGGTAGCTGAAAGATGTTCTAGATTACAGCATCAGGTAGACTCTGCTTCAAGTGTAACCCATTATGCACTCGGGTTTCTAAACACGTCAGAACAACGGTACAGCAATGAAGGGCATTTTCTCAAACAATGCACGCTCACGCCAAAACCAGTGTGCCGGCTGCAGGTATTTGAATGTGCTGGCAGGCCGTGGTGGGCTGGCGCTGGCAGGTGGAGGGTGACACAGACAGGCTGTTGAGAGGCCACAGGTGTTGGAGACGAGAGTTGGACAGCGGAGAGGCCCGTGTTAAAGTTAAACAAGCCCCAATGTGCTGGAAGGACGAAGGTAAGTTTCCTAGGACTTTACACAGGTAGGCCTTTGTTTGGCTCTTCAGACTATAAGGAAATGTAGATGTCTGTATGTAAAGGATAACATAAGCAGGCACAGACACACTTGGAAAGGGGGGCTCTTGAAGGGCTCTGCAGTTTTATACTAGTTTAATGACTCAATGTAGCCTTTGATTTGTTAAAGGAATACTGAAAAAAAAACAATGCTTACGATCTAAAAAACTTATGTCCGGCATTCTGCAGAATGGTGGCTCTGAATTAGTAAGACCAGTATATGTGCCAAAACAAAGCTTACTTTTCTCACTATCATTGTTGACTATGCTACATTTATAAACGTAGCGTTTACCATCAGGAAAAAAATGATGTAATTTCATTTGAATGATATAGTTTAAGCCAACACCTATAAACTAAACTGATCCAGCCCATCCTCACCAGAAAAACGGCAGTATAGGTCGGCTATACAACGGTTTATTATCCATCAGTGTTTACCTTTTGTAGGCTGCGGAAGTCGGGTGAATTAATTTAAAGAGCATCCACGTACAGAGGTAGTGGGGTGGTTGGATTTGTGAAGTAACGTCAGGGCTTACTCTAAATTCTTCCGGATTAAAAAAACTATTTATTAAATATTTAACTTTTTGAGCCAACTACAGGGAAACACTCGTGGTCGCAATGTCTGAACCAGCACACACATAGTTACACACATCTACAGACAGAGCTTCTAGGAAGGGGTTCATAGTACATCCCTGTCCTCAGGTCCAGTTAGGCAGCCTTGTTAAAATA